TGCTGCACCCTCCCTCCCGCCACTCCGGGGGAGGGAGTGAGAAGGAAGCAAGGCCCAGCGGTTCTCCACCAGGCCTGCTAGGCCCCTCCGTGCTGCGCCCCTCCCGCGCTGCGATCCAGCACCAGCGAAATTGTCATCTCAGGGCTGCTACGCCGTCTCCTGGCTGGCTGGAACTCTTGTTACAGCTGCTGTTAAGAGACTGTCACCGGCCGCCACCATTCAATTGCCATCTATTAGGTTATCGCCTCTATTACCAGAAAGGAACGTGAACTAACCTAATATCAGATCCGAAACCATTGTGGCGACCCTTAATCTAATAGTTCCATTATAAGCCTTACACCAACTATACTCTGTGGATTCCCATTAGATTTATAATCTCTTAACCTCCTACCCCTGTGATTGAGATTTTGGGGGGAGGGGGTTAATTGGGAATTAAGTTATACCAACAAGATTAAGGATTGATTGTACAAATTGCACTGCTGTTGCACTGTTGTTGTTATTGTACTTTAGTACGACCATCTTTGGCCAACGCTGCTAATTCCCAACCGCCAGCACTTTAACCATTTAATACAATTTGCACTTTAAATACTGTGCACTTTAAGGCCATTAATCCTCCACCACAGCACTTTAGTTCATCAACTACGTGATAGTCTAGTGCACTTTAATAACTCTTACCTCTAACAACTAGCACTTTAATACCTGCTGCTACTTGAATTCTAGTGACCGGACCAACGCCGTACCAGTGCGGCTCACCCATGTCGACTCTCATCCCTTGGTATCTACTAATAGTATTTTTGGTGGACTGGGAAGGAGATAGAGGGTGGAACGGGTGGGGAGATCTTAGAAATAACAAAGCAGGGGTGGGAAAGGATTGGAATGAGGTAGTATGGTTAAAGCGAAAAACAACAGAGCAAATAATCTGGAATGAATCATGGGTTGAAGCTACAAAATTGAAGTGCACTATGGAAGTAGAGGGATATTCCATTAGCCGAGGGGTCCCCATAGAAACTATAACGGGGAGGGGGAGATGCAGGAAAGGGAGACCTTCAATTCGACCACTATCGAAGTGCAATATGGAAGAAGAGAGGTATTCCATTAGCCGAGGGGTCCCCATAGAAACCATAACGGGGAGGGGGAGATGCAGGAAAGGGAGACCGCCAATTCGGCCTAGAAATAGTAAAAATCCAACAACTCAAATTCGGCCTAGGGACAGAAGAAGAAATTTAACTACTTGTAATCGGTCTCCTGACGTGGTAAGTTGGCGTACCCAGGATGGCGGTCCCTCTGGGTTGAAGATGGTGCTGCTGAACGCCAGATCTGTCAACGGGAAAACATCCTTCATCCAAGACTTAATTTTGGTGGAACGGGCAGATCTGGCGTGCATTACGGAGACCTGGCTGGACGAAGCTGGAGGAGTAAATTTGACCCAGCTTTGTCCACCAGGCTTCTCCGTACAGCACCAATCGAGACCTGGAGGGCGGGGAGGCGGAGTTGCGGTAGTCTATAAAAATTCCATCCCCCTGACCAGAGGCCCCATCCCGCAGTCAACTAATTTCGAATGTGTCCACCTGAGGGTGGGTGACCGGGACAGAATAGGGATTCTGCTAGTGTACCGCCCACCTCGCTGCACTACGGTCTCCCTACCTGAGCTAGCAGGGGTGGTCTCGAGCCTGGCATTGGAGTCCCAACGGCTTCTTGTGCTGGGGGACTTCAATGTACATGCCGAGACTACCCTAGTAGGAGCGACTCAGGACTTCATGTCTTCCATGTACACGCTGAGACTACCCTAGTAGGAGCGGCTCAGGACTTCATGTCTTCCATGGCAACCATGGGGCTGTCCCAACGGGTATCTGGCCCCACCCACAGTGCTGGACACACATTAGATCTGGTTTTCTGCCAGGGATGGGAGCAAGGTGGCGGTGTTGAGGAGTTGTCCACCTCTCCGTTGCCATGGACCGACCACTATCTGGTCAGATTTAGACTCACTGCACCTCCTAACCTCTGCAGAGGTGGGGGACCCATTAAGTTGGTCCGCCCCAGGAGGCTTATGGATCCGAACGGATTCCTGATGGCTCTTGGGGATTTTCCCGCCACCTCGGTTGGTGATCCTGTTGATGCCCTGGTGTCTCTCTGGAATGGGGAGATGACTAGGGCAATAGACACGATTGCTCCAGAACGTCCCCTCTCAAGTAGCCGAGCTAAACCAGCTCCTTGGTTCACCGAGGAGCTGGCAGCGATGAAGCGAAGGAAGAGGAGACTAGAGCGCGTGTGGCGTTCGGACCCGAGCGAGTTAAATCGAACACGGTTTGTTGCCCTTCTAAGGGCATATGCCGTGGCAATAAAGGCGGCAAAGAAATCTTTCTTTGCGGCCAATATTGCGTCCGCAAAGAACCGTCCGGCTGAGCTGTTTCGAGTTGTCAGAGGTCTATTAAATCCCACCACTCCGGATGGGAACCCTGACAACTCGACGGCCCGCTGTGAAGCATTTGCTCGGTTCTTTGCGGACAAAGTCGCTTTGATCCGTTCTGACCTGGACACCATGTTAACGGCAGTCTCAGAGGATGTAACACGAGCATCTGCTTATCCGATTTTGTTGGATTCATTTCAATTGGTGAAACCTGAGGATGTGGACAAGATACTTTGGAGGAATGAGGGCAACCACATGCATCCTAGACCCCTGCCCATCCTGGCTTCTAAAGGAGGCCAGAGGGGGATTGGCCGAGTGGGTGAAGGTGGTGGTTAATGCCTCCCTTCGGGAAGGCAAAATTCCAGCCAGCTTAAAACAAGCTGTGATAAAACCGCTATTGAAAAAACCATCACTGGATCCCACTCAATTCGTCAACTATCGGCCTGTTTCCAATCTTCCCTTTTTGGGCAAAGTCCTGGAACGTGTGGTGGCCTCACAACTCCAGGTATTCTTGGTAGACACTGATTATCTAGATCCGGCACAGTCTGGTTTCAGGCCGGGACATGGTACCGAGACAGCCTTGGTCGCCTTAGTGGATGATCTGCGCAGGGAGCTAGACAGGGGGAGTGTGTCCCTGTTAGTTCTGCTGGACCTCTCAGCGGCCTTCGATACCGTCGACCACGGTATCCTTCTGAGACGCCTCGCGGGAATGGGCCTTGGTGGCACTGTTCTGCAGTGGCTCAGGTCCTTCCTAGAGGATCGTACTCAGAAGGTGTTGCTGGGGGACAACTGCTCTACCTCACAACCATTGTCTTGTGGGGTCCCGCAGGGCTCAATATTGTCCCCCATGTTATTTAACATCTACATGAAGCCGTTGGGAGAGATCATCCGGAGTTTCGGAGTGCGGTGCATCTGTACGCAGATGATGTCCAATTCTGTCACTCCTTCCCACCTGCTACTAAGGAGGCTGTCGAGGTCCTGAACCGGTGCTTGGCCGCTGTGGACTGGATGAGGGCTAACAAATTGAAATTGAATCCAGACAAGACAGAGGTACTCCTGGTCAGTCGTAAGGCCGAACAGGGTATAGGGTTACAGCCTGTGTTAGACGGGGTTACACTCCCCCTGAAGACGCAGGTTCGCAGCTTGGGTGTGATCCTGGACTCTTCGCTAAGCTTGGAACCCCAAGTTTCGGCGGTGTCCAGGGGAGCATTTGCACAACTCAAACTTGTGCACCAGTTGCGCCCGTACCTTGGGAAGTCTGACTTGGCCACGGTAGTCCACGCTCTGGTTACATCCCGGATTGATTACTGCAACGCGCTCTACGTGGGGTTGCCCTTGAAGACTGCCCGGAAGCTTCAGATGGTCCAGCGCTCGGCGGCCAGGTTGCTAACGGGAGCGGCACTCAGGGAGCATACCACTCCTCTGCTGAACCAGCTCCACTGGCTGCCAATCCGCTACCGGGCACAATTCAAGGTGCTGGCTTTAGCCTATAAAGCCCTAAACGGTTCTGGCCCTGCTTACCTCTCCGAACGCATCTCCACCTATGAACCGACCAGAACATTAAGATCGTCTGGGGAGGCCCTGCTCTCGATCTCGCCTGCATCACAGGCGCGCTTGGCGGGGACGAGAGACAGGGCCTTCTCAGTGGTGGCCCCTCGGCTATGGAATGCCCTACCGGCAGACATCAGACAGGCACCTTCGCTGCTGACGTTTCGGGAGAATGGTTAAGACCTGGCTTTATGAACAAGCGTTTGGTTAAGCAGTGCAACCAATCATAGGAAGACGGTAAATGGAACATAGGAATGGCACAAGGATTATGAGAACGGATCTGATTTCAACTGAGGCGTTATGTTATGTCTGTTTTGTTGATTTGTCTTGTTGATTGTTAACTGTTGTGGATTGATGCTGTTGATCCTGTTTGTTGCATTGTTATGTTTTAATTGCACTGACACTGTTTGATAATTGTACCATGTAAACCGCATTGAGTCGCCTGTTAAGGGCTGAAAAATGCGGTATAGAAATAAAGCAAATAAATAAATAAATAAATAAATCACTGCCTGCTGAGAGACATATCAGGCAACCACTACTCAGTGGCCATTGTAGACAGAGACTGCCTACAGAGTCATTGGAGGAAGATACTGCTCAAAGCTGTCGATTGTATATAGCTTCTGCAAAGAGGAAGATACTGGAGACATCCATTATCAAACCAGGGTGATGGAAGCAAATACTCCACTCAAATAGCCAATGAACACACCCATGGTATAATGATGGACACTGAGGAGAACTATGAATCTATGGTGGACACTCACTATATCTACTCTACTCAAATAGTCAATGAACACACCCATGACATAATGATGGACACTGAGGAGAACCATGAATCTATGATGGACACTCACGATATCTACTCCACTCAAACAGCCAATTAAGACCTCCATGAGATAATGATGGACACTGAGGAGAACCTTGAATCTATGATGGACACTGACGATATCTACTCCACTCAAACCCCCATGACATAATGATGGACACTGAGGAGGACCTTGAATCTATGATGGACACTGACAATATCTACTCCACTCAAACAGCCAATTTAGACCTCCATGAGATAATGATGGACGCTGAGGAGAACCTTGATTCTATGATGGACACTCACAATATCTACTCCACTCAAACAGCCAATGAAGACCCCCATGACATCATGATGGACACTGAGGAGAACCATGAATCTATGATGGACATTGAGGATAACCATTGCAAGGGCTGGTAGTGAAGACTTCTCCCGTTTTACCTCCAAGTTGCCCCAGTCATCGTTATCCCACTGGTCGCCGGTGCTGTCTTCTTCGGCCGCTTCCTCCTCCAGATCCCAACTGCTCGATGAGGCCGGAGCTGCTGCAGACAGAGATGGCGGAGGGTGTCCAACCCCTTCCAACAAAACAATAATAGGAATGGAGGAGGGGGAAAAACAAGTCAAGCTCTGGTGTTCTAGGTGGCACTCCAAGATGTTCCTGTGGCCCTTGGGGTCCTTTTACCTGATTTGGGGGGCTCTGCAGTGGCCCCCAATTCCGCTGCCTGCGCCGTCCTCGCATTCATCCGGATCAGCTTCAAGGTGAGCAACGAGACCCCCATGACGGCCCAACCCGCCCAACTGGCTCCGGCTCCTGGACTGGCGGAAGTGGAGTTGACGTCCTTTTCTTGAAAGATAAACAAACCCACAAAGCATTGGTTCCGAGGGTTTGGAGACAGGCAGGAAGACACAACCAAACCCCTAATGACAAATGCCCATCCAGCATCTTATTTTGCATAGAATTACGGAAAAAATAGACCCATGTCTGATCCCACAGCAAGCTGGCTTCAGGAAAGGCAAAAGCTGCACATTGCAAGTGCTGAACCTTACTCAGCACATAGAAGATGACTTTGAAAGGCAGCATATCACAGGAGCTGTCTTCATAGACCTGTCAGTGGCTTATGATACTGTGAACCACCGCCTCCTCCTGAGAAAAATGTATAATATCACAAAGGACGACCACCTCAACCGCCTCATAGGAAACCTGCAACAAAACAGGAGCTTTTTTGTTGAGTTCCAGGGCCAGAGAAGCAGATGGCGGAAACAGAAGAACGGCCTGCCTCATGGGAGTGTGCTTGTTCCATCAATGTTCATCATTTACACAAATGACCAGCCACTGCCAGAAGGGACAGAGAGCTTCATCTATGCTGATGATCGTGCCATTACCGCTCAAGCAGGGAGCTTTGAGATGGTTGAACAGAAGCTCTCAGAAACTCTAGGTGCCCTCACTGCCTATTACAGGGAAAACCAGCTGATTCCTAATCCATCTAAAACACAGACATTTGCCTTTCACCTTAAGAACAGGCAAGCATCCCGAGCTCTGAGGATGACCTGGGAAGGAATCCCACTGGAGCATTACAGCACACCCAAATACCTGGGAGTCACTCTGGACCATGCTCTGTCCTACAAGAAGCACGGTGAACATCAAGCAAAAAGTGGGTGCTAGAAACAATATCATAAGAAAGCTGACTGGCACAACCTGGGGATCACAACCAGACACAGTGAAGACATCTGCCCTTGTGCTATGCTACTCTGCTGCTGAGTATGCATGCCCAGTGTGGAACACATCTCACCACATTAAAACAGTAGATGTGGCTCTTAATGAGACATGCTGCATTATCACGGGGTGTATGCGCCGTACACCACTGGAGAAACTACACTGTTTAGCCGGTATTGCACCACCTGACATCCGCCGGGAAGTAGCAGCTAATAGTGAAAGGAGCAAGGCAGTGACATCTCCAGCTCATCCCCTGTTTTCCACCAATGTGTCCCTCCCACAATCCCACCAAGGGCGTCTCACCAAGCTCGGAGAGCTGCTCCGGGTCTTCGGAAACTTTCTCCAGTTTGGTCATGAATCTCTGGATGGCCTTGAAAGCCTAAGAAGGTGGCGCAAAGACGTGAAAAAGAAGCTCTTCTGTCCCCCACGAAAGCATAAATCCCAGTTGGAAGGGAACGTCCAAAGGACATCTAGGGAAACCTTTACCTTTGTTCTGTGTGTTTCTGTGTCATTGTTCACTATATTAAAGGCATTGAATGTTTGCCTATCTGTGTATGTTGAAATCTGCCCTTCTTCTTCTTCTTCTTCTTCTTCTTCTTATTATTATTATTATTATTATTATATGCACCTTATGCACATGCCCTTGAAGGTAATTTTAAACACAATATCTTTAATAATTTTGTACATGAAACAAAATTTGTGTACATTGGATCATCAGAATGTTACATATGTGGACAAATTTGGATTTCAGAATTCCAGATAAAGGATACACAACCTGTACTGTTCTTAAAATAATTGGGATTCTCGTGAAGTACTTAAATACTTTTTTTTCTGAAGCCATTACAACATTTGTTCATGAAAACCCGTGTCAAATAAAAACAATAATCCTTGGCTTGCAAGGAACTGAGTCTGCATAGGTGTGTCTATTTGCATTAAGCAAATATGCCAATCTGGATTCTGAATAGTACTATACTATATTCTTATAGTGTTTGATTTTCAGGTCAAAAATTGCCCTTTCAGATTTTCATTGAGAAATGTGTGTGCATGCACTTGTTGCAATATTATCAATTGTTAACTATTTCTGTCTCTTTCTTCTGCTATTGATTCCATCCCAGTCAGTTTAATCATGATTTTTAATTCACATCTTGTGTTCACTATATTTTAATCTTTGTTCTGTGTATTTTAATATATGGATTTTATAGTATGCTGATCACCACTGGGACCACCATTACTGGCTTGTGCCAAAATCTTTGCAGTTCGATCTTTAAATCCTATTGTTGTTGTTGTTGGAATAATGAGCACAAAGTTTAACACAACAAAAGGACAGCCACATGAAATACCTATGTTGTAGAATGCCAGTGTGGCATAGTAAGTTGTTCTTGAACTGAGGCAGTCCAAGTTGAATCCTCACTCAGCCATGAGATTTACCAGGTATCCAGAGGCCAATCACTTTCAGCCTGACCTTTTCCACACAGTTGTGGTTATGAGGTGTGAATAGATAGAGCCACATATGAGCTCATTGAAGAAATAGCAGGGTATAAGGGCAACAAATTAAAAATGTATTGATTAAGGCAATAAATAAAGAACTAAATCTAAAAGGGAATAATGTACCATGATCTGCAGTTCTTCGCTATTGTCTATGCTGGCTATTGTTGCTGGGCCGTATAATTCCAAATTCTGAAATAAATACATAAGACCTACTAGGTTGGAACAATTACAGTTACAAGAGTTTGAGATAGTTCTGACTAACAGATGTCATTCAGTAAATCTACTCTAGGTAAGACTAATATTGGATTTAAGAGTTACAAACGTGGCTGTTCCACTGTTTCTTTGACTAGACGATTCCCCAGAAATGACCCAAAATTCATAGACTCGCAAACCTAATTAGGCGCACTTTAAACTAGGTCCACCGGGGGAGGGGGACAACAGTCTTGCGAACACTACTTTATCCACAATGTCAGGGAACCACCAGAAGGCTAAATGGAGGGCTGCACAAACACAACGAGGACCAAGTACCAAAAGCAGAATAATCCCAATTAAACAGCTCGGGGGAAAATCTCAGGGGCTCACACGTCTTTACACTAATGCACAGAGTATAGGAAATAAACAAGACGAACTCCAACTTTTAGCACAACACCACAAATATGATATCATAGGCATCACTGAAACCTGGTGGGATGACTCCTATCGCTGGAATGTAGACATCGAGGGCTATAACTTTTACAGAAACCGAACAAAGGGGAGAGGAGGCGGAGTAGCCTTATATGTAAAAAACTGTTACGCTGCAGAAGAGATGCAAAACAGCAATCCGGGAAACCAGCTTGAAAGCATCTGGGTAAGAATCAAGGGAACTGGGACTCAAAAAGATGTCGTTGTAGGCGTCTACTACAGACCCCCAAGCCAGGAGGAAGAACTTGATGAAGTCTTCTGCCAACAGTTGACCAAACAGGCACAGAGAAGAGATGTAGTAGTCATGGGCAATTTCAACTATCCCGATATTTGCTGGAAAACAAACTCGGCCAAGAGTACAAAGTCCAACAAATTCCTCGCTTGCCTTGCAGACAATTTCATGGTCCAGAAGGTAGAAGAGGCAACAAGGGGGTTGGCTACTCTTGATCTCATCCTAACAAATGCGGAGGACCTGATCGACGCGGTTGAAGTGGTCGGATTCTTAGGGGCAAGTGACCATGTGCTCCTGCAATTTGAGGTACAAAGGAAGGCCGAAACTAAGACAAGTCAAACCCGCATTTCAGACTTTAGGAGAGCTGATTTCCAAAAAATGAAGGAAACACTGAACAGCATTCCGTGGACACAGATACTAAAAGACAAGGGAGTTACGGATGGATGGAAATTTCTCAAGAGTGAAATACTCAAGGCGCAATTGCAAACCGTGCCAACAAAGAGAAAAAATAGGACAAGTGCAAAGAAGCCAGAATGGATGTCCAAAGAACTTCTAACTGCTAAGACACAAAAGAGACATGCACAAGAAGTGGAAAAAGGGAGAAATCACCAAAGAAGAATTCAAACAAATAGCCAACACCTGTAGGGAAAAGGTCCGCAAGGCTAAAGCACAAAACGAGCTCAGGCTTGCCAGGGACATTAAAAACAATAAAAAGGGATTCTTTTCTTATGTCAGTAGAAAAAGGAAAAACAAGGAGGCAATAGGGCCTCTTCGAGGAGAAGATGGGGCAATGCTGACAGGGGATAGGGAAAAGGCAGAACTACTTAATGCCTTCTTTGCCTCGGTCTTCTCACAAAAAGAAAGTCATCTTCAACCTCAGCAAGATGGAGTGGATGAGGGATTAGAGGACATCCAACCCCAAATTGGGAAACAAGTCATCCAGGAATACCTGGCCACTCTAAATGAGTTCAAGTCCCCAGGGCCAGATCAACTACACCCAAGAGTATTGAAGGAAGTAGCAGAAGTCATTTCAGAACCATTGGCAATCATCTTTGAGAGTTCTTGGAGAATGGGAGAAGTTTCAGCAGATTGGAGGAGGGCCAATGTGGTCCCAATCTTCAAGAAGGGAAAAAAGGATGACGCAAACAATTACCGTCTGGTCCAAACTAGTCCAATGTGGGCTAGGCAAAACTACGGTGAGGTGGATCTGTAATTGGTTAAATGGACGAACCCAGAGGGTGATTCTCCCCAATGCTTCCTCTTCATCCTGGAAAGAAGTGACAAGTGGAGTGCCGCATGGTTCCGTCCTGGGCCTGGTCCTGTTCAACATCTTTATTAATGACTTAGATGAAGGGCTAGAAGGCATGATCATCAAGTTTGCAGACGACACCAAATTGGGAGGGATAGCCAATACTCCAGAGGACAGGAGCAGGATTCCAAATGATCTTGACAGATTAGAGAAATGGGCCAAAACTAAAAAAATGAAGTTCAACGGGGACAAATGCAAGATACTCCACTTTGGCAGAAAAAAACAAAATGCAAAGATACAGAATGGGGGACAATGCCTGGCTTGAGAGCAGTACGTGTGAAAAAGATCTTGGGAGTCCTCACGGACAGCAAATTACACATGAGCCAACAATGTGATGTGGCGGCAAAAAAAGCCAATGGGATTTTGGCCTGCAGCAATAGGAGCATAGTGTCTAGATCCAGGGAAGTCATGCTACCCCTCTATTCTGCTTTGGTTAGACCACACCTGGAATATTGTGTCCAATTCTGGGCACCACAATTCAAGAGAGATATTGACAAGCTGGAATGTGACCAGAGGAGGGCGACTAAAATGATCAAGGGTCTGGAGAACAAGCCCTATGAGGAGCGGCTTAAGGAGCTGGGCATATTTAGCCTGAAGAAGAGAAGGCTGAGAGGAGATATGATAGCCATGTATAAATATTAGGGCTGGGCAACCACGGAAAAATTTGTTTCTAAAATCGATTCGTTTTTTGGGGGGTTTTGCGTTTCGATTTTTAAAAGAATTCCGAAATTTTATCAATTAAAAAGTTCGATATTTACGAAATTTCGTAAATTACAAAACACTACGAAACAATTACGAAACAATTACGAATCGATTCGTTACTGGCGGACGCGATACGCAATACGCGCAATACGCTAAAAAACCTCCAAATGGGACAGGGGGAACTTCTGAAGCTTCCCTCTCCCTCTGTTGTTGACTGTTGGTGTGATATTTATAATTTTTTTTCACTGATTAAACAAACAACAACTATAAAACTTGCCCCAGACATGCGGAAATAATAACGAAATGATTTCAAAACGATAACGAAACGAATACAAAACGAATTTGAACCAATTACGAAACGAATTTAAAAATTCGTTTTGTTTTTTAGTTGCTCCTGAATGGTTCATTATCGCTTCGTTATCCAAAAAAATAACGAATTTTTAATGAATTACGAAATTACGAAACGAAACCGCCCAGCCCTAATAAATATGTGAGAAGTAGCCACAGGGAGGAGGGGGCAAGCTTGTTTTCTGCTTCCCTGGAGACTAGGACGCAGAACAATGGCTTCAAACTACAAGAAAGGAGATTCTGTCTGAACATGAGGAAGGACTTCCTGACTGTGAGAGCCATTCAGCAGTTGAACTCTCTGCCCTGGAGTGTGGTGGAGGCTCCTTCTTTGGAAGCTTTTAAACAGAGGCTGGATGGCCATCTGTCAGGGGTGATTTGAATGCAATATTCCTGATTCTTGGCAAGGGGTTGGACTGGATGGCCCACGAGGTCTCTTCCAACTCTTTGATTCTATGATTCAGTCCCTGCACTCTACTATTGTCCCCTGCCCAGAGTTGTAGTGCCCTTTCCCCAATTTTGTCATCTGGCACTTGCACTTTATCTATCAGCCCTACCCTCAACTGATTTGTACCGCCCCTCCACCCCCTGTCTGAGCCCAGAACTGTTTCTCTATTTCAGGTACTGGTTTGATGGCTGCTTTTATAACATGTTATGCTGTTGTTTTATTTTGTTTTTGTTGCTGTTTATGAATTTTAATGTGGTGTCTTTTAACTATGTTTGCTCGGGCTTGTCCCCATGTAAACTGCCCTGAGTCCCTTCAGGGAGATGGTGGCAGAATACAAAAATAAAGTTGTTATTATTGTTG